ACCCACTTCCTGTTTTGCTGAGACCGGTGGTAATTCTGCCCAAATCTGACGCTCATCAGAGCACCTGGCCATGCATCACACTCTCCTGGCAGAATGGACACAAGCTGGCTGGATGACGGCATAGAGCGGCACTGATTTTTTTTATGTGAACTCTACCTCCCACGTGGGGCTCACCCTCACAGCCCCGAGATCACGGGGTGCACACTCGCGCCCCACGCAGCTCTCAGTTTCATCTGATGCTCAATCCACCTTGATGTTTGTCAAACAGATTCTCTTCTCCCTGCAGATTTTTAAGGTGTCTCTAAAGAGATGATGCCTCCGGGTCTGACCTTACATGTGTCTATGCAATATTTTAGTGAAATATAATTCAGACTCACTGGAGGCTGAGCAGGAAGATGCTGCTCATCCTTTTCTATGAGTGGCAGAAACCCCGGATTGGGAGCTGGTCAAACAGGCAGCGCTCTCAGAACGCAAGCCCCCCACAGCTGAGACGTGGGGTTCACACTGACCTCACCGAGCATAAAACAGCTCAAGCACAGAATTGCAGGGACGTGATTCATAGTACCGCCTGTGTTAACGTGGTTCCCGAAACGCGTACAGCCCCAGGAACGTGGTCATGGGAACCGTAGCCTCTGCTTCCTGTAATGACTGGAGCCCTACACCCATGCAAATCCCTCTTCCTGGGAGGCACCCCCGGCTTCCTCTCGTCCTGGTGGCCAGGACAGGTCTCCGCAGGAGCTGACACCGGTCTGGCACTGCGCCCCGTGGCTTCTGCCCCGTGGCTGGGTGCCAGCTGCTCTTGCTGCCACTCCTGCCTGGCACGGCCCGCAGTTCCCCGACCCAGGGGACAGAACTGGAAGGCACAAGAACCCGCAACCTTACACAGCTGACCCTCAGCCAACGTGGGGATCAGAGGCGCCCACCCCCCTGCCGTCAAAAATCCCGTATAACCTTGGGCTCTCCAAAATCTTAACTACTGATAGCCTACTGTTTACCGGAAGCCTTACCCGTAACATAAACGGTTGATTCATACATGATTCGTGTGTGTTATACGCCGTATCCTTACGGTCAAGTCAGGAGGAGGAAAGAAAATGTGATGAAGAAAATCCTACGAGGAAGTACCTACTGGACTATATTGAAAAAAACCCGTGCGTAAGTGGACTCGCACAGCTCACGCCGGGCCGTTGGAGGGTCTGCCCTACCTGCTTGGCCAGTCTCTCCAGACCATCCAGATGCCAACCCTGCTGCTCACACTCATCACCACAGACATTTAGGAGCCGAGCGCTTACTCACTTCTCTCTCCCGTCCTCACTCCGCCCTGAGGCGTATTGAGTTTCCTTCTTAGCATTTGCTAAGATTAGTATTGACGGAATTCTACCTGGCAGAGGGCCTATCTTTTATTCACTCAGTCTCCGGACCCACTGGAAGCTAAGTGTGACGAACGTGAGGACCCCCTATCTCCAGGGCCCGGGGCACAGCAGACACTTCATAAATACTTGTTAGGTGAGTGAATGAAAATTTCAGTTTAATACAAAGCACTTCGTAACCATGGAAGCGTTCAGACATGGAGAGGACTCCCCCCACAGGCCCTGAGCTTCCCGTGAGCTGGGCCATGGGCTGACCGGACATCGGACAACGCACTCAGCGGCTAACTGGAAGCAGGGGACACCCATGAGATGTGACTATTACGGCTTCCTGTAAGCCGCCGGAGGCGAGCTCCGAAAATGGTTTGCTGTTCACCTGACCCAGAAAACCCCACAAAATCATGCAAATCAAGAGGTCCAAATCTTTGTGTTCACTTTAAGAACACACGTGAAACCTTCCAGGCCATCAAGCGTATGCAGATCCGAGAAACCGCCAACTCTCTGAAGGCTGTCACTTTGCAGAAGCAATGTCTGCCGTCCCGTCAGTGCCCAGGTGGAGTGGAAGGTGTGCCGGGGTCTGGACACAGGGCTGGTGGGGCTGCACACAAGGGCTGGGGGGGCTGCACACAAGGTCGGGGGGGCTGGACACAGGGTTGGGGGGGCTGCACACAAGGTCGGGGGGGCTGCACACAAGGTCGGGGGGGCTGGACACAGGGCTGGTGGGGCTGCACACATGGTCGGGGGGGCTGCACACAAGGTCGTGGGGGCTGGACACAGGGCTGGTGGGGCTGGACACAAGGTCGGGGGGGCCGCACACAAGGTCGGGCGGGCCGGACACAGGGCTGGTGGCCCCAAAAACAGTGCTAAATTTTTACTGCAGAGAGTCATGCTGAACCTCAGGGTTTCAATGTAGATTCTCTGGTCCCGGAGCACATCCAGGAGAACAAAGCCCCCAAGATATGGTGCAGAACTTACCGGGCTCAGGGTTGGACGAACCCACACATGAGCTCACCTGCCACGCGGAGACGATGCTGACCAGTAACAGACTGTTCCTAAACCAGAGGAGGAGGTTGCACAGAAGAAAAAGATATCCTAGAAGAAACCCAAGAAACAAAAACTTAGGGTCCGGGAGTAAATTCTGCATAAAATAAATGCAAGTAAAAGTTTAAAAAAAAGGTGACTATTATAATATTAAAGATAAAAGATAAAGATACACGTCATTGGAGTTTTCATCAGCAAACTGAGTGCTCTCCCCATCCCCCAACTGTCTTCCCAACGTGTACCTGGTCCCCCACCCCCATCTTTATGTAATCCGGATGCAGCCCCTGGAGCTCCCAGGCCCACCTCATCCCTGTCCTGTGAGGTCGAATTATCTCCAGCCCCAGTTTCACTGCTGGGGGTGTCCAAATGTCTATGATTTTCTGGAAAGGTATGTGGTCTCATGACCCCCATGTCTCTGTCCAACCGGCACCCACAAGATGTGAAATCTAGCCTTTTCATCATTCTCTGCCAACCCGAGGACGTGGACCCTCCAGAAGCACGGGGTCGGTCATGTACTGCCCACCAATGACGTGGACGTTTCCAAGCAGACCTGTCCAGACTCCCCTCATCTCTCCCCTCACACTGAGCAGTACCAAACTCTGTCCTTCTGTAAAGCAATGACCCACCCTACACCCAGGCTTTCATGTCCACCATGCCCCCACACACCCACCTCGCTAAGTGTCTACGTTCCAAACAAACGAACTGGTTTACCAAGGAGGGGCTGTGGTGCAAAGTGTCCCCATGACTTTTTTAATGGCCTCTTTCTACTCCTACAATGTACTTTGAGCTCTTACTATATCCCACACCTCAAATATGTTTAATTTTTGCCTGTCAGCCTGAACTGACGCTAATTAGCCTCGTGCAGAAAGAATCCGTAGATGGTAAGTGCATTCTTGTTCAGAAAAGCTAGAAAATTAGACATTAAAAAGACCTGACCACTTAGCTTTCTGGGCAAATGAGAACTGACTTACAATTTTTATTGAATGTAATAAATCCAATTCCCTCCTTCCCCACGTGAGCTATCCAAAAAAAAAAGGAAAAAAACAAAAAGTTTATTATCTTTTCGGATGATCACATTAACACATGCACACTCATAAAATCAGAAAATACGGACAACTAGGATGATGATTCCGATACTAGAATTTTGCGAGTCCTTCTTATGGGCTGGATACTCTCCCACACGCTTTGGCCGTGGCCCAGTGACAGCCCCACCTGCGCTTGCTCGTGTGGAGACCGAGAAGCACTCAGAGGTCATGTTTGTTTCTCAAGGCCACACAACCAGAAAACGGTGCTAATGAATAAAGACGTTATCTGGAGCCCGAGTCTTCCATGGTCTTCTGAACACACCGTCCATTCATTTCTGTTCACCTTCTGACACTTTGGCATAGCGTCAGGAAGCACGTCCCTGGGTTCAAGAACGTGCCCCAGGTTACTTTAGTACATTTGAGACACAAGACGTAATTTTTTGGTATGCATTCCTTCTTCATGTTACTTTACTGGACTGAACATCAGTAACAAACTTGATGATCACGTGTTTTCCCACTGGAGCAAAAACAGAGCTTTACATGTTGTCTTCCTAAATCAAACCAGTGTCAGTTGATTTTTCAAACATAAACGTACACGTGGATTTCTCCGTGGGCTGCCGGCGTTTCTTGGCATGGTTTGACACTAAGCAGGAACTTTCCCTCAGTGGTGCTCTTAGCACCTTCTAGTGGCAAGGAAGCGAAACGTGGCATGATGGCTTAGATGCTGGGGTTTGTTTTTTTTTTTTTTTTAAGGAAAAAAACAAACATCATTTATAGCTTCCTGGTATTTCCACTTTTCTCTCCTTTTGTTCAATAAAGCCGCAAAGACCATGAAATTCCAAAAAAGAGACTCAAATATTTCGAAGTCAATTCAGAGCATAATTCCATCGTAAATGTGAAAGTATGTAATGTAGTTGTTACAAAAGGTCAAGAGAGTTCAGGGAATTTTAGGTGTTTTTTTTTTGTTTGGTTCTTTGAATGGTAACTTTTCACAATGTCTCAGATTTTTAAACCACTCCTGGTTAATTATTTTATGGCCTCCGGCTCAGCATTGTCCTGACGGGTGTGAGGACAGACAGGCTGATAGAATAGTATCGTGCTGTGTAGTTCATGGAGAAGGACCCTGTTCCCTCCAATAGCATCCTCTATACTTGCATCACACCGTATTAATTCTTTAATGTCTTTTTTAAAGTTTTTAAGCACATCCAGGCGAACAAAGCCCCCTTTAATTTCTTTTTTAAACTTTTTTTTTGGTGGGGGTTATTTGAGCTGGACCTGCAGCAAGAAAGCCAGCCATGTGCAGGTCTGGGACTGGGCTGGGTGGCAGGAAAGCAGGGGCAGGGCCTGGAGGGGGCGAACCCAGTGCCGTGTGCAGCCCGGGCTGAGTGAGCGAGGCTGGGCGCGGGAGGAGCAGGGTGAGTGGGAGGGAGAAAGGTCAAGAAAAGATGCTAACGTTTTACAGCTGACACTTGAACGGTGCGGGGGTGACAGGCGCCAGCCCCCGGGCAGTCAAAAATCTAGAGCTGACGCCCCCAAAACTTAACTAGGAGAGCCCACTGTTGACCAGAAGCCGCACTGACGAGCTAAGCCTACTTGGTGTTATAACCATCACACACTGTATTCTCACAACAAAGTCAGCCAAGGAAACACTTCTGCCACAACCATAAGGAAGAGAAAACACATTTACAGCGCCGTCCTGCACCTGTCGAACAAAACCGCCACGGAAGTGGGCCCGCGCAGTTAAAACCTGTTTGTTCAAGGGTCGACTGTACTTTATGTCCTCTGTACCTCCCCTCTGAAAATGAGATACGCTACCTGGCCAAATATTGTGACACAGTCCCAAGAAAACGTTGACTAGACATGTGGGACAATTGATAATAAGATAAATGACAAATACCACATTGTAAGTAAACTACGGCTACGTCCACCCCACAAATGCATCTGGGACTCAGCCTCTCCAAACCAACGCATCCTCTGGATAATGTCACGAACCCTCCACAAGGATGCCGGAGCGCAGACAAGGCACTCTGCTGGTTGATGGGACGGCAGTGTCTGGAGCTGACGGCATGGGGAGAAAGAAAGACAACGAACAAGTCCACATTCAAGTAAGCGTGGACTTGCCCGGCGAGGTGAGCCTGCTGGAGAGACACGGCGGGAGTGGAGCCCGAGGGAGGACACCAACTGGCAGGGGGACGTGAGCTGAGGCCCCGCGTGTCTGAGCAGGTGCGGCTGGAGCCGGGCTTCGGGACGTCTGTGCCGGGGCAGCGTCCGGGCCTCGAGCCCGCAGAGCGCCGCCATCTGCGCTCGCCCCAGCTCTGACACACCCAACGCATCTGCACACGTTGCCAAACGTCCCCAGAGGCTCGGGCGGGGCCTCGGAGGCCGGGGAAATGTGCCTGCCCCGAACTCGGGGTCCAGCGGGAAGCCACGGTGACCTGCTGTCACCACCACCTTGACCGGAGTCGGCCGGCTCCCAGCGTATGGTGGGCGTGGGCTCCTGGCCTCCAAATCTCGGCCGCGGCCGCTCCCCGCGGTCGCCTGTGCCGGCTCAGACCACAGCCACCGGCCAGGCTGGGAGCGGGCGGCCAGGGAGAGCGGGGGCTGGGGCGCTGCGCGCTCCGTGGGTCTCCGAGGGAAACAGACGTGCAGGTGTCTGCCCTCCGGGATCCTCCCACTGTGGCCGCGAGCTCACGGCCTCCAGCGCTTAGGCCTGCAGGCTCTGCCACGTTTCAGCCAAGCTCACGCTCGTCCTTGGCGGGGGCTTGAGAGCCTGGATCTTTCCACCCAAGGCAGGCCGGCCCCACGGGCCACCTCGTACCAGCGCCCCTCGTGCCAGTCGGCCAAGCGGAGACTCAGTCTGGCCCGCGGGAGGGTCTGCGGCTCCGCAGCCCAGGACTGCTCCCTGGTCCCTTCTACTTCTCACCGACGTTGCTTCCTGACAAGCCCCTTGGACGCCCAACTCTGCCTCAGCACCTGCTCCCCAGAGGACCCGATGGACCACCCGCCCCCGGCCCCATCCATGCGCCTGGAACGAACGCTTACAGCCGCTTGGTCCTCCCGCTGTGTCCTCACAGACCCCCGCCTCTACCCCGCCACAGAGGAAGGGGCGGGACGTGGCGTCTGCCCAACACCGCCTGGGCCGGGAACAGCCATACATGCGCCCTGAAATTTCACGCCAGCGGGACGTGGGCATTAGCATCCCGTCTGTAGATAAAGGCCCAGCCCTGCAATAATCCGTACTTCAGAATAATTTCTCAACTTTGTCTGACCAGAAACCCTGGCACTTATATTTGCTACACTGACCATAGTGCATTTTATGTATCTTATTGATTTCATGTACTTTATCTGATTGCACTTCAAATTTTGGGGGTGGAAATGCCCTATTTGTCCCTACAGACAAATAAGAAGTCTGGCCCTCTGTAACACACACGCAGTGAACACATAAGGAGCGAGGGAGGGAAGGACGGCTAGAGTGCACTTACTCTACCTGTGTGTGAAAAGGTGCGTTTTCAATCATTGTTAAAACGCACGGGAACGTGAGGAACACAGGAAGGGATCCAGCAGGGCGGAGCGCGCCCCTGGTGCTGAAAATGCTAGGATTAAATAAAACAGAAACCTCTGGCTTCCACAGAGGCCGGAATGGGATTCGCAGCTAGAACTTTCAGATTTTAAAAGATGCTGTCACTTAGTAAAGAAAAAAAGCCAGGTAAGCTGGGCTGAGGCCAAAGGAGAAAGAGATCAGGCTTACGGATCAAAACTGGCAGAGCAGCTGTTCTGCAGAAAACTCCTCCAGGAGTAAGAGGTACATGTGACGCAGGCCGGGGCTTCCTGGGTCAGCTGGTGCAGTCCCGGAAACAGTCACGGCCGTGGTGTAGGTGTGAAGTCTCTGCTACGGGAAATTATAGTGCTTTTTTTTTTTTTTTTAAATGAAGAAGTAGTTCAGTGTATTACCTTTATTTTGGGCTCCCAAGTTTGAGACATCGGAACTAAATCAATTGCTGAGGGCTGAAGGTTTGGCTGTCCCCC